TTTCTAGGAACCAATTAAAGGCTTCAAGCCATGGGGGTGACATGATGAGATCTGTATTTTAGGAAGGTAACATTAAGGAAGTGGGTAGGATGGGAACTGGAAGTAGGGAGACCAGTGCAGAAGCTCCCACAACAGCCTGTGACACAATGAGTGCAGCCTCAGTTAGGGCCATGGCCCTCAGGTGCAGAGGAGGTGACAGATTCTCCTGCTGTTCCAGAGGGGACTTGTCCGGTTGGAAGTGGACAGTTAGGGAGAAGGGACAGGCAACTCCTAAGTTTCTTGCCTGAAGAATTGAGAGAATGAATTACTTTCAGAGAAAACATCTGTTGTACAGGGCTAGTTTGCACAGTTACAATTAATTAAACAGTTAAAAATCAGCCCTGGCCAGCATGGCTCAGTTGGTTGAGGGTTGTCTTATGCACTGAAAGGTCACCAGTTCAGTTCTTGGTCAGGGCACATATCCAGGTTGTGGGTTTGATCCTGGTCAGGATACATGTGGGAGGCAACCAATTAATGTTTCTTTCTCACATTGATGTTTCTCTCTCTCCCCGCCTCTAAAAAAACAGTAAAAACATATATTTTTTAAAAATTTAAAAATCAAAGCTATGGGTCACTGGGAAAATTGTAGACAAAACAGCCTAGATGATTAAAATTTTTACTTCTTGGTCCATTGTACTTCTTGGTCTGTGGGGGCATCAGCTCTGCACAAACTGAAGCATGCTCATCCATAAGAAGCTAATAATTCCTCTAGAAGCCCTCTTAGCCAATAGGTCTGGCTTGAGTAGTCATTGAAGAGTGCTACATTTTTCTTATATTTGTAATATAAAGATGAATAGAAAAAGAGGCTAATCCTTATAAAGGTGAGATAGGCCATGGATAGTTTTACCTGGACAAATTATATTTTGAAGTACTAAAGTATAAAACTTTAGTAAGGATGGATTTATTATTTATCTTGTTCATGTTGTTAGCATTTTTATTTTCAGTTTTGATATTTTATGGAGTATGAACTTATGTTGATTGTGGATTAATAAAAAAATAAATAAAATTTCTCCCCAGAGGGGTCAGTTCTATTGCTTCAAATGAGATAAAATCTTATTAGAATAAATAGAAATTTTTTTCTGGTCACACTGAATTTTTATGTGCAGATTTTTTTTAAGCATCTTACCAGCACCAGCCCTGTAATTTACTTCCTGCAAATAGAACCCTCTCTCTCTTTTAAAAAATGTTTCTTTTATTAAATTTATATATATATATATTTTAATTGATTTCAGAGAGGAAGGGAGAGGGAGAGAGAGAGATAGAAATATCAATGATGAGAGAGAATCATTTATCGGCTGCCTCCTGTAGGCCCCTTACTGGGGATCGAGCCTGCAACCCACGCATATGCCCAGGTTAACTGGAATTGAACCCAGAACCCTTCAGTCCACACGCCAATGTTCTATCCACTGAGCCAAACCAGCTAGGGCTAGAAGTCTCTTAAGAGTTGGAGGCATTTATGTTACTAAAAATGTTATAAACAAATGGCAAAGTGGCCACATTTTATACTCTTAAATTTGAATTTTACTTCTGTAATGAGTATGTATCATTGGGGATTTCAGTCTGTAGTTGAGAAGAACAGGACTGTAATTGTGAAAAGACATTCATTTCTGTAAATTGCATTCATTACAAGCATCACTCCCTATCACGAAAAGCAAACTAGGATGAATAATTGTTCTCACTGGATATGTTTCACAACCTGACCTGTGGAAAACATCAATGGAATTGCATTTTCTTGGAAAAGGTTGTTTAAAATAATAAATTAGATATTTTAAAAAATATATGTTTTATACAACTAACCTGATAAATTTTTATTGGATAATTTTATTCCTTCTCTCCTCTCTCTACTAAGTGTCGGCTTTTTGTTGTTGTTATTCTCCCACACACACTGTCAGCCACGGCCTATCAGGATCTTTTCCCCAGACACTGTGTGTAATTTAAGGAGAAGCCATGTCTGTTTCCCTCAGTATCCCAGGCTGACATTTCCAAAAGTACTTCTCATCATGTCTCTACAGAAGGTCTGAAAAAGCATTTGGGGCCATAATGAATTTATCAGATTGTTAGAGTGGGTGATGGGAATGGGACATTTCCCTGCTCAACAACAGGCAAGAAACCAATTGACTTTGTATGTCAATCAAGCAGAATTGATTCTGAGGTTTGTCACTTTGCAGGATATGACAGGCCAGTTTGGTAATCTGTTACAAATGCTATTAGAATTCATTGCAAAAGTCATGCAAAGGTAAATTAGGGCCCATTGGTCATCTTGTCCTAATGGGGGTGGCAGCCCATAGCGGGTTTTCAGAGCACTAGATGGCTCTGTGTCACAGAAGAACTCTCTTTGTCTGTGAACTATCCATATCCACCACTGCTATGATTACGGCGCAGTTCACATTTGGAGCCTTAGCATTTATTTCTTCAGTGAAAATGAACTTACTATTTCCTCAGGAAAGATGGGAGGAAGCAGAGGACGCCGGGCAGGAAGAATGGGAGCAAAATCTTTCAGAAACAGGGTCCTGGAGATTAGAGACAGACTTTGACCCCTGGCCATTCTGCATAAGATCAGTCCCAGCATAAATCTGTCATGTGGAAGTTAGCCAATGTGAGTTAAGTAAGGACCTACAGGGTAGGAATTACTCTCCCTTTTGTTATTTCTGAAACCTGAACTGCTTTCAGAAATAAGGGCTGGAATGTTCCATAGGAACTCGGAGCATGGGACACAGGGGCATGGCACACACTCTGTGTGGGCTATTTAAAAACCAGTTCCTTGGCCTCCCTCTGTGATTCTAAATACGTGTAATCACATTACCCTGCAGCAGCCGGGAACTATTTCTATAACGTTGTCCAGCATCTGTGCTTGCCGAGGCTGGTCCACCCAGCAAAAGCAGAGTGGAGATGTGCTCACTGATTAGGTTGATCAATTCAGGCTTTCGGTGTCAGAGCTGAAGTCCATCTAGTGTAGGAATATCAGGAGTATGTGTTGACTGACACCTCTTGAATTTTAAAGACTTATCTATTTAACTATCCAGGGAGGTGGGAGGGATGGGGGGAGAGGTGCCCTAGCTCATCAAAAGGATGCTTTTTACTTAAAAAAATTATTAATTTTAATATATTTTTATTGATTTCAGAGAGGAAGGGAGAGAGATGGAAACATCAATAATGAGAGAGAATCATTGATCAGCTATCTCCTGCACATCCCCTACTGGGGATTGAGCCTGCAATCTGGGCATGTGCCCTGACTGGGAATCAAACTGTGATCTCCTAGTTCAAAGGTCAACACTCAACCAATGGGCCACACGCAGCCTGGGCAAAAAGGATGCTTTTTAAATGAGCCATTTATTTATTTAAAAAATGAACAACAGCACAATTTATCACTTTCTCAGATACAATCAATTCTTATTGTATGGAAGGATCTCAGCATTGGAGACTTTGATACTTTAAGTGCTAAAAACTATCTTTTTGGGGTTTGTTCAATATGCTAACGCTTCCCCTAATCATATCACTAGCCATTAATCAAACACATAAATCCCTTAGGAATATTCTACTAATTGTTAATCATTCAAAGACATTAGCTAGTAGAAGGGCATTAGCCAACACGGTTACATAATATCAAAACACCTGATCATATCTGTGAATTAATAAAGTAATCAAACCAGTTTTGGCATTTCATATAGACAAAACAATAGATCAAGGGATTTTTTAGCTTTATGTAAACATTTAAAACCCTACCATTTATAAAATGTGTAACCAAATAATCTGAACAATAAAGATTTTTTAAAAATGTGTAACCATTTGACCCTATGCCAAACATTTTATCTACTAAAATCCTATTTATCTCTGATAACAATATTTTAATGTGTTATCACTTCCATTTTACAGATGAGGAGACTGAGGCTCAGAGAGATTTAGTCATTTGCACAAGATTACAAATCTAGTTTCTAGTAAGTGGTGATAAAATTTACACACAGATCTCTCTAATTTCAAAACCATGCTGTTTGCCTCTCTGTGTATAACCTCACACAGCCAAAATGGCTAGTTAAGGAGAGAGAAAAAAAAAATCTTGGGTCCTCAATCATGCAGTTAAGATAACCAAAACTCAGTTAGTCGACAATTCCCTCCTGAAGCATGTTAACGACAGCCCGATATGTTGCCTGACATCTAAGCACGGGGGACCTTTTGACTTCCACATGGTCCTACTCTGAGAACTAGCACTTCGATAGCCAAACATTACACGTTAGAAAAAAAAATTGTACATGTGACATTATGCCTGTGGAGAGACCTGAGTCAAATATTATTTTTTGACTATTTTGAGACATAGACTGAATATGTAGTTCCCTCGTGGCTAACTCAAAACACAACAGCAGAGATGAATCCTTTGCACTACCCTATATTATTTTCTTTCCCTTCTTGCAAGGGAACTAATTATAAATTAGATAAGATTAGAAAACAATCTTTCCAGAATGAATCTTTTACAGAATTACCTAGAAAGAACCAAGTCCTCCGTCCCCCCCCCCCCCCCCCCCCCCCGCCACCCCCATGGTAAATCACACAGAGTAGCAGCCTGCCCCAGATCCCTGGGAGACAACATCTTGAGCACATATGTTATGCTGGGTTCTGTATTGACTAATTCAAAAACTCCAGGGCAAAATAACCAAAGTTCCCAAGTCAAAAATGAAAGTAAAATAGTGGAATGAAATTGGAATCATTGTGGCAACGTTCCCACAACTTCATACATAGCCATGAAAGTAGACAGCATTACAGGTTAGCAAATTTCCCATTGCAAGAATCAACCTGCACCGTTGGTGTCACGCTGCAAACAAACCCCTGGACCTCTCACTTTACTGATAATCTTTTTCTCTCCAGAAATATAATCACATTCAACAAAATTAATATCAAGATTGTTTTACTAGAGGGCTTATCCAAATATATGCTATATTAAAAATAGTTATGATATAAATATTTCTCACAAGAGCTGCAGCGATGGTGTGAATAAAAAACTCCCTTCTGAGATTTCAGTAAAACCAGATCTCACAAAGGATCTGAAAGAAAACAAACAGACAGACGCACACAAAGAGACACACACACAGAACAAACCTTGTGTTAATCCAGTTTAGCAAAAACAAGTCACTATTCTGACACTATTTTATGAAGTACCATACTGCTCCTTCCCAGGTGAAGTAGGAGAAACGAATCTGCTACAGGTTCCTCATAATAATGTTCAAGGGTGGGGGGTTCCTAAGCATGTTCCGTAGCAGCTAATCAAAATCAAAATCTCTAAATGCAGCAAAATGTTAGCACTGTCAAATGGCCAAGTGTGCGAGAGGAATCTCTCTCTCCATGCCCTTCTACCAGTACATACAAAGCCCCAAATACACTGGCTGGAATTTTTAAATCGTAAATTAGATAGCAAATGCTTACGGGCCTTACAATGAGATAACATCAGGAGGCACGGTGCGTGGAATGGATCTGGCATTCTCACATAAAGCATTATCTTTGGTACAAGTACACACGGCAGGGCATTTTGGCTTCGCTGGTTTCTTCCCCTCAGTCAGCAAGAGCGCAGATAAGAGACATAGGAAATAAGCAATTCTTTTCAGGGGGATGCAGGCATTTCCCATCCTTTGGCTTCTCTCTGATTCCACGCAGTCGGAAAAATCTCCCCAAACATGAACAGGGCTTCTGGAATTCAGCTGGTGATTGTCTTGCTCTGAGATCAGGTCACATAGGAGTCCACCCTTTCCCTTTGCCTCTGTATCTCTGCTTTTCAAAACGGGGACCTGCAGCTGATTCGTGAGCTGCTCCTCGATCCAGCAATGCACTGCTCGGGGAAGAGACCTGTGAGGTGCTGCGAGATGGGAGGGATCCAACTGCCAGAGGAGAGAGCCGACTTGCATCACCAGGAAAACACTGAGCGCAGACCAGCCTTCGAAGGCAAAGTGAAGTGATGTAACAGAAAATAAACAGCTTTCTGCTTGCACCGGGAGGCCCTGTAATTGTTACCAAAAATAGGACGGCGTTCTGTCTTATTAGTGAGTGGGTGGGCGGGTGGGTGGCAGCAGTCATCTTGCATCGGAGCTCGGCAGTCTCAGAAACCTCTGGGAATTTGCTTTTCGTGTGGCAAACAACCCAGTCAGAAAAACTGGCTTTGGACCCAGCCCTGGCTGGAAAAATGAAGTTAAATCAAACTCCCTCTCTCCACAGCATTTGGCTAAAACGTTGGTCTTTCTTGCTGAATTCACCTGACTAATGCCACCGTTGAAAGACAGATAAGAACACACGGAGAATGAGACTTTCAGGGAATGAATGTGAGTAAGTACTTTTCTGACATTTATCAATTGTCATGAATTATTGGTTTTCATAGTCCCCCACCCCCACCTCCAATGTGCCAGCCATTCCCTCCTCCCATGATGAGGGAGGAAAATAGAAGCAGAGACTGGCTCTGTGCATAATCCACCTTTCTTGCTTCTGGAACTCCTTCTTCTTTAGCAGTAGCACCCAACGCCTGGCAGGAACTCTCTGCCAGCAGGAGGCAGCCAACTTGGGCTTCTCAGGGCTCTGAAAAAGGCCTGGCTTAGCCCAGGAGGCAGAGACAGGGTGGGGGAAACACTGGCCCAAGAGCCGGAGACTCGCTTTGAGGTCCCAGTTCTGCCATGATCTAGCCCACATCTCCGGATCTATTCAAGTGGGGATGATATCGATGTTCTATAAATATTATGAACATGAAATCAAAATGGTAGGCTGGACTACTGTCATATTTGGGAAAGGGTATGCACCTTTGGAACAGAAATTCATTTAAAGAAGAAACAAATGAGGTGCTGGCATTGGGGCAGGGCGGTGTAGTCCAAGAGCTTGGGAAGACTTATAGGATGGAGAGAGGTAAATAGATCCTGGCTCCCCTTACCATGCTGGCCCAGGGATGGCAACCCATGATCTTTCTCTCTCAGCTGCTTAGATTGAAAGTAGTAAAAGGGTTGTTTGAGCAAATGTGTGATTAGGACATAAATTCATCCTACATGGGAACCTGAAGCATGGACAGTCTACCCATTTCCTCTCATAGCATGCCCACAATGACTCTAATCACTCATTTAATTCTCTGTAAGCTCTGTGAGGAGAGAGCAGTGGTTGGTAGTCGTGTTCATTCTTGTACTCGACTGTTTACCTGGAAGACAGGTGACTCCATGAAGGTAGAGATCCTGCTGTGAGTCAGTGCCTGGACAGTGTCGTCCATGCAGTGAGCCACCCATGTGCCTTCATGAGCAACCATAGAGTGGAAAGGCTCTACTGGTCAGGATGTGCTCATCCCGGGAAACGTCAGATCGCACCTCAGAGTTACCATAAAGGGATCTGACAACTCCCTGAAGAAGTAATGAGAGAGCAGAGTTCCAAGGTAGGGGGGATGAGAGAGTTGGAGAGAACATTCCAGGTGGAGGGAACAGCACATGCAGAGGCCTGGCCACCACCTGGCCAGGGCCCTGGAGAACAATGGGAGACCTCTGGAGTGCTTTAGGCAGGAAAGTGATATATCTGCTTTGTGCTTCAAAAGGACCAATAGATTATTATAATTAAGCCAGTTTTTGAAGGTTTATAAATATAATTTTTATAGAAAAGAAAAGAAAAACACCGTCCAAGAGAAGTAATGATTTTAGAATGGATTCTACTGCTTTCACTGTCAAGGATTCCCTGGAGGGAGGGAGTTATCATAGTGTTTTTAGAAACTGTGACTTACGGGCAAGTCCCACTTGCAACAGTAAAAGTGTCATTTAAAAAATTGGCCGAAAGTCAGTATTTTGTAAATTGGATCCTGCATCAAGTACACAGTGAAAACGTGCTCTATAAAATAATTATGTGGTGAAAGTTTTATAGAGAGGATCATTTTTATTCAAACAATCACATCCCCCCTAACTTATCTCACTTGTAAAGGATGTATTTTGTAGCTATAAAATAAAGACTCTGAGAACTTGAAGGACCTTAGAATTCTCAGATCCAATCCCCATATGTTACAGATGGGTAAACTGAGGTACTAAGAGGTCACACAGATGGCGAGTGGCAGAGCCACCACTCTGCATGGGGTGACACTGGCAGATACTTGGTTAAACTGGTGGATATAGTCAGTCAGGATAATTCACTCCCCATGTTCCACTTTCAAATGTGTCAAGTTATCAAGATTGCTTCATCAGCCCTTGGCTTCGTACTCTGTGGACATAATCAAAGAAACGGTGAGTGGTCTTTCAAACTCTCTGACTTGGTTAAGCTGGGAGGGCAAATGAATGAGGGAAAGAAATCATACCCATAACTATTCACTGTGCAGCTGTATTTCTCTGGCGGTTCATTTGGTCAGTTTAAGTGGAAAAAGACCGTGATTGGGGGGAGGAGGGGGGAGAAAGGGGCGGGGGAAAGGGGGACCCTAAGGACAAGTTACAATGGGCATTCTGAAAAGACAGTAACTTTTTCTTTTTCTATGGCATTTAAGCCCAGACTTGAATTCCCTATTCAACTAAGATCGGGCAGAATTTTAACTGTAATGCAGAATGCTGATGGCCATTTAGGGAGGAGAAACCACTCCTGCCTCCAGAATTGGGTCTGAGGAGGGGACTACCGAGAGGAGGGCAAGTTGCTACACTAAAGCCCTGAGGGGTCTGGGGTGGGGTCTATTGCTGATGAGCCTTCCTTTCCTGACCAGTCCTCCTTTAGAAGCCCTGGCCAGGCCCAGAGGGGCTGTGGGAAGTGGGAGGGTGGAAGCGTAGGAATTTCCACCCATTTGAAGACCTTTGGATAAGGTTTGGCACCCACCTGGAGCTTTGGGAGAGGGCCCTCGAAAGGAGGAAAACAGAGCTGGAAGGAGGCCCAGGGAGGCTGAAGGCCTTGGCCAAGGCAGCTCAGTGCCCAGTCCCAGCGATAGAGGAGTGGCTGAGCGGGTCCAGGGCTGGCTCTTCACGGCCAGCCATGGACCATGGGCTAGCTACTTAACCTTTCTGGGCCACAGTTTTCTCCTGTGTAAAATGAGGATAATACTAGTATATGCCACACAGAATTCTTGAGGAAATGAATACAGTAATGTATCTAATGTGCTTAGCAAGGGGTCTGATACCCAGGAAAGATTTGTCATGCTTGTCGTCGTCGTCATCATCATCATCATCATCATCATCGCAACAGGATTTGATTGCTGAACGTGTGACTCCTGATACCTGGGAAGCAAAGCTCTCAAATTAAAATGGGTTTAGCTCAAATCTATGCTCACTCTAGAAAGCAGGCACTTCTGGGCAGGATGACAGACTGTGGCCTTGCCAAGAATCTATTTGCATGGAGGAACCAAGGAGTCTCCTGGGAAAGAAAGAACTCACCAGTTTGGATGAGAGTAGCAACATCCAATCTTAGTCCAAGGACAGGTCTGGAGCTGGAGAAAGAGAAGGTGGTCTGAGTGCAAGGTAGAGATTGTGTCCTGCCCCCTGCCCTTGAACATGTGTAAGTTAGAGAAAGTAAGAGAGATCCACTTTGGGATTCTTGTAGTAAAAGGAGTTCTCTCCAGTTTGGTGGGCACCGTGGCATTGCCTTTGAGGACAGGAGGAACTACTTACAGAGCTGTAGCACCAAAGATGCTGTAGGATATGAGACCAACAGCATCCCTCTCCAGGCCCTCAGCTCACACATCACCAAAGTCACTGGATTTTCCACCAAAAGCAGCTCCTCCTTAGTGGCCAAGCAGCAGTGATAGCCCCACAGACATCAGAGGGACTGGGGAATGATCCGTGAGGCAGCTGGAGCAGAAGAGAAGGAAAATGAAGGATAGAGTGTATGTTTGGGGGCACATGTGCAGTGTTCCCTAGGCATCCTCAGAAACTGAAAGGGGTCTCTGTGGAGGGTTGGGCGATTCTGCGAGAGCCAATGAGAGCAGAGAGAGAAAGAGAAAGAGAGAGGAACAGCCTGTGCCGTGATTCTGATCTCAGTTTTCCCCTCAGGCTGGTGTGGCCTAGGAAACACACTTTGTACAAGTAAACAAATCGTTATTATGAGACTTGAAAGATCCATCTTGGCCCTGCCTCCTTTTGCAAACACTCAGACATGCAAACGGGTGTCAGCTTAAGCAGCTTTCTCAATAGAGCAGGGTTTTCGAAGCTACACTTCAGATGCGTTAGTGAGTTGCAAAATCAATCTAGTATAAGCAGATTGTATAAGCAGAATTTTAAAGAATGAAATAGTTTTGGCCCTGGCCGGGTAGCTCAGTTGGTCAAAGTGTTGTCCCTATATGCCAAGGTTGTATGTTCAACCCCAAGTCAGGGTACATACAAAAAGCAACCTATGAATGCATAAATAAGTGGAACAATTGCTATTTCTCTCTCTCTCTCTCTCTCAAATCAAGAAATAAAAATACTTTAAAAAAAGTAACTATTGCCTTGTGAAACCTTTGTTTCTGTTGTGTCTCTCTCTGTGTCTGTGTGTGTGTGTACACGTGTGTGTGATGTAAAATATTTCTTACAATCCGTTTATGAAAAAAAAGGAAGAGAGGAAGGAAGGGAGGGAGGGAGGGAGGGAGGGAGGGAGGAGGGTGTCACTTAGGACGCTTTGGTAGTAAGTGACAGACATGGACTCTTCCAACCTAAACATAAAAGAGTCTTATTGCCTTGGTAATAGAATGACTGGCAGAACTCAGGGAAGGGCTGTCCAACCAGGCTTCAGCAATGGAGAAACTTGTGGGAGCTTGGGGATCTAGGTGGCAGGAACTAATGGGCAGTCTCCTCAGGTGAATCCTCTCCAGTCAGTTCTCATCCCCATGTTCCTCCCCAGAGGAGAGAGCCCAATGGACTGAGCTGGGTCCAGTGCCCGCCTATTTGCCATGGGGAGGCAGAGCACCTTGGTGGCAATTCCACCAAGAGAGCACATGATGAGAGAGGGGTGGCTCCCCAAAGGAAACTTCGGTGCTCCTACCAGAAGCAGAGAGGATGGATGCTGGACAAGC